CAAAATTCTATCACACATTTAAATGGGTGTTTGAGCATACAACCGAAGTGCATAAATTATGCTCTGTTTTGAAATAACAATTAGGGGAAATTAAACAAACTGCAACTAACATTCCCCCACCTCACGCCAATCTGAAAAGATAAAACGATGAAATAAAATGAAACATTTTGTGTCCTGATTTTGGTAGATAAAAGTAATTGCTCTCCTGGCAGGGGCAAAATAAATTTTCCCTTAAAGCAATGTGGAAGCTACTACTCCGATATACCTCTTAAAAGATGCATTGTTGCTCTTTCTTCTGGAGTCTTGGCAAGAAGTAAATGATAAGGACAGTGAATGTTTCAAACCAAATCCCTTGCCATCAAGTCGATTCCAACTTATTGCGACCCTATACGACAGAGTAAAACTACACCATAGGGTTTTCAAGGCTGAATTCTTTACAGAAGTAGACTGTCACATCTTTCTCCCACAGAGCAGCTGGTGGACATGAACCACTGACCTTTTGTTTAACAGCCAAGTGCTCAACCACTGTGCCACCAGGGCTCCTCAGTGGATGTTAGTCACTACAAAATTGTTTTGAAGCAGAGAATCTGCTAGATTTCTGAAAAAAAAAATTGAAGAGTCACAAAAGTAAATGGTTATTTTTGGGGGATTGTTTTTTCTTTTTCAGGTCACTTAGTCAATTAAAGGAGCAGCTAACCGAAAGTTTGGTGGTTCAAACCCACCAGCTGCTCTGCAGGAGAAAGATGTAACAGTTCTACTTTGCCCTATAGGGTTACTATGAGTTGGAATGGACTTGACAGCAATGAGTTAGCCAATTAAAAAGGCCCCAAAAAAACTGGCTTCTTGGTCCATGTCAATCAATTGTTCATTAGTTACAGAGACAAAAATCCTGTCATTTTCTTTAAGCTCAAATATTCCCCCTTGATAGATGGAATAGAGTCCATATTCTGAATCTTTAGACCAGCAACTATTTCTAGCGCTTTTCATCAGTAGTATAGGGTCAGGATAACTTGTGTATTTGTAAATATATTGAACCATTTGTTTGTTTTTCTTTCTGTTCTCTTCCAGTGAAACAGTTGGCACAGTTTCTTTTTCCTGAAATCGAAAGTATGTTTGGGAATAGATGTAATAGAACCCTGTTTGATGGATAACCAGCTCTCCGTTCCTCAAGTGCAAATTGTTCAAGAACGAATGTCCTTTCCTTGATGACTCCCAGGTCTTTATTTTTTGGCCCAAAGCTTTTTCATTCCCGGAGCCTAGATGATGGTTAGCAAAAAAAGAGAGAATAGTATTAACAGAAAGGAACTTGTAGCAAAGCACGAAGTTTCCCACAGCTGTGGCCGGCATTTCTGTGTGTGTGTATGTATATATACAAAGGATATCAAACTAATATGAAACTTCTTGCTCCTTCAATCTTACGTGGATTCTAAATTCCAGTTTTATTCTATTGGGTGGCTCCTGTATTATTGTGACCTGTTGGGAGTCCCTTGCTTCTCCGTGCCACGTCTGTCACTTAAGCTACATCTGTCACACTGAGCTCTGAATGGTAGCACAGGGAATGGTTTACTTGATATACAATCTTTCCTCCTGAAAGAACTTCTGTCCTGAAGCTCTGCCCCCTCCCTGTGCTGGTGAACTCAAACAGCAACCTAAAAGAAAACCAAAAGAAATGTATCTATTGCTCAGAGCTTCTTGCTATTCTCTGGGTTCCTTCCTTAGTCTTTCTCAAGAGAACTTTCCAGTCAAAGCCACCACCAAAGCAGAAGGCATCCCTAGTCCAAAATAAGAGAGGCACACGTTTGGCAAAGTGTACCTAGATTTAAAGATCTCTAGATCCTTGAATTTTAAAGCCTCGAAGACTTTGAATGAAAAAGGGTCCTACCAAAAAAAAATGATGTATTATTAAACTTTGGGTCCATCTCCATGATTTGTGCGAAATTTAGTTTTTCAAGAACTTAAAACAACTAGTATATTTGTTGATGAAAGGTAAACGGTGACACAGCAATAATGATTTTAATCATAGGCAGAATATGTCAATCATCTATAAAACATGAGTTCAGGAATACAGGTGTTCCCTGCTTTTCGAAAGCTTTTCACCACTTTGCTTTTATGGAAGACCTACATTAGTACCTGTTTTCATTAACCGAAAGAAATTTGAAGAGGATTTTCACTTTCATGAAAAAAAGCGAAAAGCAGAAATAGCAT